ACTGGAATGCTCTCTCCCTGGGGCTACCTATGGAAAGTGTCTGGAAAGGTCGGGAGGTCCAAAATGCAGCCACCACCAGATTGTTGACTAGGGTTGATCAGAGGGATCCCATGACCCTCCCCCCGAACAGCAGCTCCACCCGCTGCTGATCCGTTCCCAGGCAAGGTGTGTGTTCTTGGCGCCATCTCGTGGACACACGTGAAGTAACATGAGTGGAAGTAAGTTGTACTACCAACCCAAGATCTAAACATGGATGAAAGGTGGCCCTTTTTGTAGCACCTCCTTCAAAGATACAGTTGTGCCTCGCTAGACGATGATAATCCGTTCCACTGAAATAGCTGTTTAGCGAAATCATCGTCTAGTGAAAAGCATTTCCCCATTGGAATGCATTGAAACCTGTTTAATGTGTTCCAATGGGGAAGAATTGTCGTTGTCTAGCGAAGATCGGCCATAGGAAAGCCGCTTTGTGAACCGCCGATCAGCTGTTTAAATCGCTGTCTTGCAAAGCTTAGGTCCCGAAAACACCCGTTTTGCGAGTGTGGAGGGAGCTGTCAAAATTGTCATCTAGTGAAAATCGGTTTGTGAATCAGGGACCAAACACTGTCCAGCGAAATTCCCCCATAGGAATCACTGTTTTGCGAATCACTATAGCGATCGCAAAAAGTCAATGTCTAGCAAAAAAACCCTGTCATGCGGGGTAACTGTCTAGCGAGGCACCACTGTATTACCCCAGGGCCCCTCCTTGGGTTTTCAACTTAAATAAAAAGGAAGGGGTAGCAGCAGAGCTTGGATAAAATTATTAATTAAAAAAAAAAGGTTACAAGGCAACTGGCTATGTTCCCAAATGGGTGCTGGAGTTCTCACAGCATCTGTTGACATTGGCCGGTTATGTTGATCTCAGAGGTGAGTCGTGCAACCACAGCCTTGGAAACTCTGCCCTACAGATGTATCTGCAGCATCTATGGACCGATGGTTGCCTCCAGCAAAGGGGAGGCCAATAGCACCAGAGGCGCCTTGCTCCACCACCAGACAGCTCTTGCCAAGACGAACTGATGTGCTCCTAATGCTGGACAGGAGGGCTTCTTCCCAGATAGCTCAGTGGTTTAGGTCTCTGGCTGCAGAACCAGAGGCTGAGAACTCAATTTCCCCCACTGGGCCTGGACCAGATGATCCATAGGTTCCTTTCCAGCTCTGTCGTTGTAAGATGCAAGATTCGTATTCAGCTAAAAGCCACTGGGCTGCAGTTTCCACCTTACGGTTCTGTAACCTCAGCTTCCTTGGGGAAACCAGGGAATCTAGGCACCCGTTGGAAGGCAGCAGCCACTCAGCACTCTCCACTGTCGTGAGAAGATGCCCGGAGGTATCCACCTGCTGCTTCATGTGAGCCTTCTCCAGGTCTAGGAGGCTGTGTTGCGTGTCCATTTGCTCCTTCAAGGCTTCCATAGCTTGCTCATCTATGGACGGCTGGATTCCTTCAGAGTCCTGACGAGCTTCCACTGATGGAAAACAAGAAAACAGTCATGTTTTGCACTTGGGCTTTAATTTTCATGTTCAATACTGAGCCACCGCAGCATAGTAGCTAAGAGGCCACTTCGAACTACTCGGAAGGTCCCGATTCAAATCAAAGGAACCTCTCAATGAAATTCCAAGCAGTCTTTGGCCTGCAAGCTTCCTCGCCCTGGACTTAGCTGTTACCCATCTCTAGGTTGTTGAAGAAGAGCCATAAGCTGTAAAATGAAAGGGGATCCCATTCCACAATACCCAATTGACTATGTATCCATGCCACAAAATCCTTGATTGAAGTTGCCCCAATTATCTGGGCTTCTGATTGCCACGTTTGGCATCTATGTCATGGGTCACTGGGCTGTGCTTGTATCAATTAGGCTTCCCAGTTCTCTTTCGCAACGTTTTTCTCTCCTCTTCCCTGGGTTCCTTCTTCACACCCTTTAACAGGTGCAAAAAAGCTCCTTACAGCCATGCCAGTTTGACGTCAGTCCCATAAATAAGGCAGCTGACATCTTTAATTGACCTTCATGAAGCAAAGTGTGAGGCTGAACAGCCCAGAAAAGACACACGAATCTATCAGCCAGGTTTTTAGTAGAAAACATCTTGTCTAGATATAAAAACTGGAAGAAAAGAGTGATCCAAGACAGGTACAAAACAACCAGAGAAACACATTCGAGAAGAACAAAATCTTTGAGTAAACAAGGCATTATTGGGTTTTTAAATATCTATTTCGGGGTGGAAATTGACATAGTATTCAGAAAGCAGTGACATAACTCATTCCTCACTTGTATTCACTTCAAACCAACCTTTATCTTGCCATGAACAAACCTTGAAAGTGTGGGGTCAGGGGTGAATTGATTCTGCCAGTTTGCACAAGAGCTGGCATTGAGCAGCACTCATTGGCTAATATCCACGACACCACCCAGCTACATTCCCTGCTGTAGTCTCCAGAGCAATTTTGTGGCTTGAGTTGTTGCCAATTACTTCTTAAGTGTCTTGAATGCTTTGATTTTACATGTGCCCATGAAGAGTCCGATTCCTTGAACTGTGCAAACCGAGTAGCCAAAAGGAAATTGTAGACACACAGTGATAGAAAGTGGTAGCCTTTATTTAGAAACTGTAGGTATCTCCACCCAGAATGATGGAAGAGCGGTTTGGAGCAAACAACTAATGTCAGAGGTCTTTATTTTCAGATTCTTGACAGTTACTCAGTTTGGAGAAGGCAACTTTCTGTTGATGCACAGAACAACTCATTATTAGTTGGCACGTTATTTGGGCTCCATGCTTATTAGCGCTTGACACCGATTCTGTAGTTTCAGGTTAGCCTAATCCTTGATGCTGTGAAGCTCCGCATACTGCTTTCTATCCTCCTGCACGAATCCTAGAGCCCTGATTCTCTTAAAAAACCAAGACAAGCAGCGACTAAAAGAATAAAACTGAGCCATTTCAAATAAGGAAGGCTGCCGTGTCTTTTCATAAAGACTCTGCCATCTTCTCCTTTTGAAAGAGTTGCAGGAATCGCCTGGTGATTCTTTGGGAGGGGACAGAATGAACACAAGCAAAGTAAACATGGCCTCATTCATCAGGAGTCGCTCAACTCTAAAATCTGGGGTAGGCTGATGGTGGAGTTATATCTTCCCCTGGAGACCTAGAAAGAGGTTCCATGGTGAGTACAAATATATTAAAATCTTCCTAGCAACAAGAAAGCAAATCTACATGGAAGTCGGGGGATAGGAGAGGCGGAATGCCACAAAAACTTCCCTAATTACGTATTTACCCAAGAAGTTTGCAGTTTTCTATGAAGCATGAGAACCCCAGGATTCTTCAAACTGCCTAATCTCCCTTGAGGTTGAACAGATGTATTTTGGTTGAGAGACCAAGGAAACTCCTCCCCCCCCCTTCAGTATTTTTCTGTATGCAGGCAGGGAAAATTAGTTCCAGAATAAGTTTCCCAGGAAAGCTACACTTCGTCCATCACCTGCTATTTCAGAAAGACATTTCACTCCTCTTTCAGACTAAGCAGGGACCGAATATCTTGGTTGAAAGCCTCTGCTCTGTAGCATTTTGCTTTGTGACGCACAAAAGCCCAATGATATTAAGACAGCTCTTGTGGGGACAAAAGCAGAGCATCCCGTGTTTGGGCTAAGGCTAGGATGGATGCCACAGGAAGTGGGGCAGGAATCGTCAGATTCCTTCCCACTGTACTCTCATCCCTCTCCAGATTCCTCCCAGCCACTGCGAGGGACCTTTAGCTGTTGGGGATGGGGCAGAAGACAGAGGCTCTCCTTCTGTTTGTTCTTAAGAGAATTAGCTCACCCTTACACCGGGAAAAGAGGGGGGCAAGTGTACAAAATGCCTGTTGCAAGACAGACCACTAGGAGCTGTTCCACCCTTAGATCCTTTCCAAGAGCGAAGCCGGCCATGGTTGCAGAGCAAGCATGTGGGCAACTCTCCTGCGGATCCAGGCTGGAGGGAGCACCCATCAAGACAGCCAGTAACTGTGGGCAATGGGCAAAGCCGGTCCCGCCTTCGGCTTGGCACAGATGTATAGACTGCTGTAGATTTCCCTGGGGGCAGCAGAGGGTGGAAAGGGAAGAAAATAAGGAGCACCTAGACAAGATGATGAAGGCACCACCTGAAAGATCAGGAGGCTACGCCAGTTTAATACTGCCCTTCCCTGCAGCTCAGGGTGGGAAATCTGGGCCCATTTGACCTTCATAGCAATTCTTGAGGGGATTTGACAGAGAGGGTCGCTAATCTAGGCAATGACCTCTGATGTGGACAGAGGATTAGAAGTCCAATCAATTCTGGGTGAAATAAAATACTAAAAAATGCTAGACCGGCCCTCGTTTTATATTGCTTCTGAAACGAGAGATGCTGATCTGGCAACAAAAAACACCCTTTGTTGGGTTAAAACTCCTTCACCCACCCCCTTTGAGCTGCTTTTCCAAAAATTTTTATGTAGGGAGATGCATTAACCATTATCTATTTTAACACGATCTGTCAGAAAGGACTTAAAAATGTCAAAATACATAATGCAATGTGATGTATTTCTCAATGGCTTGAAGATTAAACAGTTATTGCTGTGTTAACAGTTGCTGATAAAACGTTTAACAGCCGTACTGAATTTGCAGAATGAAAACAGTCGGAGAATTCACCCGTCCCATGTCTGCTTGTCAAATACTTACTAGAGATAAGGGAAAGGGAAAGTGGCAAAGACTGATTTTTTTTGGCTAAAGCCTCACTTCAGAATTTCTACATGGGCAAAACCAGATTTTCTTTGAACAAAGGTGTGCATTCTGTAGGAAATGGATTCTGGGTGTAGCCTCAGCTGACTCGATAACCCAGCCGCCCCTCTTGTTGGGTAATGTATCTTGGAAATTCAGAGCTGGAAGGGGCCCTGTGGGATCATCCAGCCCAGCCTATCAAGGAGGCCCAGAGGGGGAATCGAACTCCCAACCTCTGGCTCCACAGCAAGAGACCTCAACCACTGAGGTATCTATCGAGCCGTTCTCTCTCTGAGAAATAGAAACCCTCTCTCCCATTTAAGAAAGTCAGTTTACAGCAGTGAACCTAATGGTGATTTCTTCTACTTCACCTATGAAGCTTAAGTACCTGTCAAACATTTTCAAGGCGAAAGGTCATCGACTCAGAGAATGTGCCGCTGGCGCATAAACCCGTCTCTCAGCAGGAGCAGCACAGCCATGCCTCAGGGGGTCTATTCTGGCATTTTATACTGTAGATCGTCCACGGACAAGGCATGGCGTTAGTTCTTGCCTCTAAACACATCCCAATTCACTGTTTTCAACACTTCACAAGGAATTCTTCAAGCGTGGATGACCATGGAGTCATGACAAGACCCCCCCCCCAAACATGAATCTGTGGCCTGGGGGTGGGGAACTCAGAACCTTCTCTTAAGTTTGCCACTAATACGACATAAAGTTACGTGTCATCCTCTTTTTGTGCAGTCAAGTCAGAAGCAACTTATAAGGAACCCTAACAGGGCTTTCAATGTGAGAGATTTAAGGAGTGGTTTTACCAGTTCCACACCCCCAGTGAGTTTCCATGGCCAAGTGGGGATTTGAATCCTGTCATCTGCATTCCTGGTCTGCCACTCTATCACTGGGAATCCCATTGTGGGATTTTTATTAGACAAAAAAGCTTAAATGGGCCCTGCACAGGGGAATCCACCATTTGAATTCTAACAGGAGTACAAGATAAATGGAAGGTTTTGTTTCACTTCTAGACAAGGGCCCCCCGAGTGTCTGGAATAATTAACAACAGGTTTTAAAATCACACCCACTGATACAAGAAGCTGCTTGTAAAACTAAAAGAGTTGTGGTCATAATACTCATTTTAGACACAAGAATTATTAACACAACTGATAAAAAGGATGATTAATGTTGTGTCAAAATGTGTCATATTCCTAAAAGATATGGTGCATGAAGTAGTACTGAGTTTCAAGCTATCAGGGTAAGTTCTTTCAATGCTTTGCAGTTAAAACACAGCTGTATTTTACAAACATAGTTGTCCAACCACCTTTCAAGTCTCCATGGAAAGTATCCCTATGCTGATGAAATTAAAGGGAGGAAAGAAGGGATGTGGAGAAAGCAAAATATTGTGGCACTTTAGAGACTAAGAGTGCTGCAACATTTGCCTTTTCTCTCGCACACACTTTCCTTCTCCTCTTTTAATTCTGCAGACATGCTGAGACAAACTAATGTGGCTACTTCTTGGAAATTACCCCTTTAATAACTTGGATGAGGAATTTTGCTTCAATGGTCTCTTAAGTGTCCATTCTTTTAGCCTGCTGATATAATCAACCCGGCTGTCAAGGCTGATCCAACATCCTTAGGATTAGATTTACAGCTATCTCCTAGATGGACAACACATAACACTGCATTTCTAACTAGATGGGTGGTGAGTTGTTTTTTTTCCCCTTTTCTTTTTAGATAGCAACCCCTCCCTTTTTTCACTGGCGTTTGGCATAAAGGAGGCAGGTATAAAGCCAAAGAAAGTACTTAACAGGCAAACATTTTCAAAGAAAGGATGTCTCAGACGACACAGACGGCTTCCTTTGTGAAGCATAGGGGGCTGTTTTATTTCCAATGTTCAACCTGTGGAGAGGTGCGGTCTCAATCTGAATGGAGGAGGGTAAAGCCCACAGTAGTGCCGCTTCGGCACCCTAAAGGACATGGTGTGAAGAGCTGCTTTCTCATGGATTATTCCCCCCACACAGCCAACACCCATTCCTGTGCTCGGGACGCAGTCCTCTGCAAACAGAAGCATCGTGAATTAGCTGCAGGATGCCGGGGAAGAAGGCCAAGGCTTCACGCGGAAGAGCGACCGTTCCACGCTGCTCTGTTAGGGGGCGCTGCTGGGGTGCCAAGCAGCAAACACTAGCGGCAGACTTCTAAAAAGTTAGCTAAGCCCTCCCCCCCGAAGAAAGGAATAAAAATTTAAAAGCAGTGCCTTTCCAAGGACCCCAGGGAAGACAGCGAGGGCGAGAAGGCACTGCAATGTGTCAGAATGAACAAATTCACTGTCCAGAGAGAGAATTTGGATTTAAAAATTTTCCAGAGCGTGTCGACCTTCTGAAAATGAACAAATCTCTTCTCCACAGAAAAGAACGGTGGTGGTGGTTGCTGCAAAAGAGACAGAGAAGGCCGTTACTCAGAGAAGGCCCAACAGTTCCACAGGCTTCCCTGCTCTGCCTCCCCCTCCCCACGGCCGACACAAGGTGAACCTATTTTACCACAGCTTCCGGATCACTCTTGCTCTACAACTGTAATAATTTCTTCACTGATAAAAAACTCAACGGTTTCTTCCTCCCAGTCATCGACATTGCTGTCCAGCTCATCGGTGTCCACTCCTAGAAAGGAAGAGCAGCTGTTAGACCTGGATGAATGAACGGGGGGCTGGTCTCTCTCCTGAAAGTGACAAGGCACAGCTACCCTGCTATCTCGGGCAGATCAACTTGGCCTGCTCTAGGTCAATGTCTTCATTAAGACCTGGTTAACTCTTTCACTAGTGGATTTTCTCTCTCTCTCTCACACACACACACACCATTAATAAAAAGAAGCACACGTTTTCATGTGGAAATGGCTTAATTTTAGATTCTGAAAATGCAAAGGAACAATGCGATCCTAAAGGTACTTTCAGCCAAACGTCTACCCCGTAGTATTGAACGGAAGTTAGCAAGGTTGCACAGGACGATCTTATAGGACTAGCAACATTTTAAAAAGTGTCCCTCTTCCGTTTACCTCCTCGGAGCTCCAACCGCTCCTTTCTTTGTTCCATATATAGTTCTTGTGCCATCTTGCGGTACTTTTTGAACTCCTCCATCATTGTGCGCCTCCTATCTACAAGTTCCTATAGAAAATAAGAGAGACTGCTGTTAAAACTCTCCATCCCATTACTTCTAGAAGGCTCTCCAACAGTGATTAGATGGAGAAAAGGTGTACTTTCCACATCTGTGATCCCAACAGTAATTGTTTCACAAACATTTCAAAGAATTCCAAGGAGACTTCCCCAGACATCTGCAAAGAATCTCGGGTGCCGCAACTTAACCAACTGCAAACAGCAAAATATGTTACATCAAGAAGTGGACCAAAAGGACACCATCACAAGAAGCAAAAGCTACGCACAAACACTTCTCCCACAATATTAATACTGATGAAACGTCAATTTTTCTACAGGAAAAACAAGTTCATATTTACCAACCAACCTCCCTGACACTGCACAGCACCCTTTCTCTAAACTTCCTTTTTTGCAAATAATTAATACTGTTCCGCACAATCTTTCATTCGGGTTCCAGATGTGGTTTACCTTTGAAGCTTTGGATTGGCTTAAACGATCTTTCTGTTCAAATATTTTGGAATATCTCTTTAGATCTTTCTTGATTTGCTGTAAACAAACAAAAAGGAAGAGACAATGAATAACACTGGAAATTTATTTCTCTTAAAGTTAATGATCGGTGAATTTAGAACGCCACATGCTATAAAAGACACGGCACCTTTATCTGGTCCTGGGTGAGCAAAGTCGGTGGTCTGGGTCTCCACAGTAACTGACAGAAGCGGTCTTTGTTGTTCTTCTGCAGGAGGCGGCCCTGGAAGGTCCACAGCCAATAGGCGTTGTCCACCTAGAACAACAAATCAGTCACATTGTGTCATATACAGCAGATGTGGTTGAGGTCTCTGGCTGCGGAGCCAGAGGTGTTGGGAGTTCGAATTCCCCCACTTGTGCCTCCCTGACAAGTGGTGGGCTGGATGATTCAGAGGGTCCCTTCCAGCTCTGCAGTTCTAAGAGTCTTCTAAGAGAGTATCCTGAAAATAGATGGGGTGAGGAAGACACAACAGGAAGCCCCAAAGCAGGACCAGTAGTAGAACCACACCACTGCAGCAGAGAGACTTAGGTGTAAAATAGCAAAGAGAAAAGAATAAGCAATAAAGGCACTAAATATAAAGTTCACACAAGTTTCAGGAATCACACCTGAATCTCTTAGGACTCCAGGTGGAGTAGGGGGAAAAAACCCAACCCATAATACCTTATGACTCCACCAAGACACAGACGTCACCAAATAGCGGCCTGTTGGATCCCACTCGACATCTGAGGCTGTGTAATGCTCAGCAATGTTCATCATGGTGCAATCAGACGTATCCACAAATGCTAAGGCACCGTTCATGCTGCACAGAGGAAGGGGAGAAGTATATTTTACATAGTATGAACAGACAGCTGACAGCCTGCCTTTCAGAAGCATCCATAGCAACCTAATTAAGGTTTCTTTCATATCTGAGTGCCAAAGTTGGATCGTCACTCTGGGAAGCTGCATTGAAAAAAAATGGTGGTCTTCCATTCACTGGAGAGGGAATCTCCTCCGCAAAACTATGCTAAGTAACAACCAGTTCACATCATAGACTAACTGTGTTCTTAAAGAACCAGAGCTTATTTTTGCCGCAGTAAAGAAACAAAGCTACTGGCTTGGTAATTTGTTTGAGGTTCAGCTACATGAGCTTCATCAGATCACTTTCACAGAATCCTGAGATCTTTAAACTCATCATGCATGGACAATCCCTAGTAAAAGAACCTCACCCTTCTTGGATCTATTTTCATTGCTTACAAGAAGCCTGAAGAATAAATAGGACCACACAGAGGCAGAAGTCTCTAATTATACAATGACGGAGCCCCCAAGGACCAAACAAAATCAGGATTCGGTTTTTGCAACGAATCTGTCCGCCTGGCCTTGTCAAGAGGAACCACTCACCTCCGGAGACCAGCCAACACGACAAACTGGCCTTGAGGGCTCCAGAATATCGTGTTTGCCTGCTGCTTGTCAAAGATTTCTGAGGAGAAATAAAAACAGGAGGTTAAGATTTCTTCTTTAAAGTTCACAACATGGGTTAATTATAAAGCACACAAAATACAGCAATTCAAGTTACTGGCCCTCACACTGATGCTCCCTTTGAACTTTTAAAATTAGACAGAGATCTACTAAAATTGTTCATTCATACAATAAGCCTTAGTATCATCACCTAATTTAAAATTTAGCCCTTGTAAAGTCACAAGACTAACGGCTCTGTGCTGCAGGCTGGCTGAAATGTTTGTACAAATTCACAGCATAAGGTTGATGATATCATCAGCCACAGCCAGTGGTGATTTTTGTTGTTGTTAATTAAAGACTTCCCCACTCTTATTTCACAGGTTCCTGATGTTTATGAAAGGGATTACTCAGGATTTGTAAGAGCGTCTGGATGGACAAGAACCTGTCTCCAGCCATTTCAATCTACCAGGTCACTCCATGGAAGATCTGAACATCACTATTTTAGAACAATCATTACAAATCAAGAATACAGAGGGAAACAGCTAAAATAAAATTTATACACATGATGGGACCCGCACAGAAATGGATTGAATATAAGCCTAGGTTTCTTAAGCCATTACCAAATGCAACACTTCTATTGTTACCCACTGCCATTATTATTTTCTTCGTTACTACCAAGCTCTTATTGCAAGGAAAGGTAAAAACTGTCTATATTCCCTACATTGACACGTGATTCCTTGGCTAACTTAATTATTTCTTTCCCCTCTTGAGGTTAATGCCATCTTCAACCTTCTCTTCTCTCTCCCCCCTCCTGCCCCCAATCTCTGCTTAGACCTGGTGTCTATTTTCTGTCTTCCTGAAGTATTATTTACACCAGGACTGTAAAACAAACACAGGTCCAGTCACTACATGTAACCAATAGACATTTAGAATGTGAAACTGATATTTCATCTACATTTCATCCCATTTCATCCTGTTTCTTAATGCCTGATGAAGTGGACGTGACCACGAAAGCTTACATTCAACTATAATCATCTTGAAGGCACCACGTTTTCCTGTCTTTTGTTTCTTTGGATTTTGCCTGATATGTTGCACAGACTAAGACGGCTACCTTTTCCAACATTTCATGGATGGTTCCACGTAACCGCCTTTTAGATATTTTGCTCCTATAACATTTATGACCTTTATAGCCAAGAAAGGAAATGAATGTGCTCTGAAAGTACCATGGCCCCTATTGTGTTCTGCACCAGACAAAGTTTCGACACACTTTTTAAAAGAAGCACCAGGTACAGTGTGTGCTTGTTGGACTTCACTTACTAATGAGTTCTATCTTCCCGTTGTTCTTGACGTGGTAAAAGGAGCAGGATATTCGTGGCGATTCTCCATGCAACACAGCAAACTTGCTTCCGTTTGGCTCCCAAGCAAAGGCGATGATGCTTTCTGCAAGAACAGAGGATCTTATCAGAAAGCAGATGCTAGCTTAACAAGCTAGACTAAGCTGAAAAATCAGAGACTCTAAACAGCTTTCTAACTCAGAGGACCACCACACTGGGCATCCAAAATCCTTGGGCACAGTCTGAAGACAAGATGCAGGAATTCAGATGAAGCTCCTCAGCAGGTTCTAAGAACAGACAGGGGCTGGATGGGGCAAGGGGGGGGGTGATCCAAATCATGCTTGCTCAACTTTCATCCTAAACAGACTACAAATGTACAAAATACCCAAAGAAATAAAGACCTCAACAGCCTGAAAAGGGCACTTTACAAGATTTCCCCCTCATTGCACGCTATGCCACTTCTAATAATAAAGAACGATTGCTTTAATATAGCCCAGGAGAAGGCAACTGCATCACGTCACTTATCTTGAAATGTTTCACTTCTGCTGCATCTAATGTTACATGACCACCATGTGGGGAGGGGAAATGAGGCCATATAGGCAGAAGCCCCACAATATCACACAATACAGGAAATGTACTCTTTACCTTTCATTTCTACCACATCCACTGGAACTTGCTTCTCTCTCATGCGGAAGATTTCAAAGTTGGTCACTACACCCTGGAGGGGGGGGAGGAAAAACATAGGCGTGTCATCTATCTAGGTAGGGACTTGAGATGGGCACTTTGTGCGTCTGACAGCTTTGTAAGAATCTCTCAGCGTGGCACCACAGCTGCCACACAGACCTTCTCCCACCCCTAGGCCAGCTGGACCACCTACCTGTTATTGCACATCGCCGGGGTCCTTTTGCTCTGGTGGCCCAGCTGGCCCTTCCCCATCTCCTCAGGTAGCTGACCACTGAATCCCTGTCCCGCCTCCTCAATGCAGTGGTCAGCTGCTGGAGGAGGTGGGACAGGAACCCGAGCTCCTGAACTGATTGGCATGCTGCTGGAGCAAAAGGACCCTGGCGACGTGCAATGACAGGTAAATGGCCCAGATGGTCCCAGGGGCGGGGAAAAGGTCTCTGTAGGTACAGAAGGGTATCGCAGACCCCAAACCAGAAAAAGTTTCTGTGGGTATTCACAGTTTGAAAGCAGACATTCTCCCACAGTCAAGGGATTTGACGAGTTTGCTTCAGAGCCAGGTACCTGTGTGCCCTTGGGGGTCCGGTCCACTTTCACGCACAGATAATCCCCGTTCTTCTGCCAATGCAGCTTGCAGTCCACCACATTGAACAGGTTCCGCACTCGGATTTCCTGCCTGGAAGGCAGCTGCATCAAGGTCACTCTCGCTGGGATATCCTTGTCTTCGGGCACCCAAAAGGCAATGATGTTGCCCCCCGGGGACCAGGAGAAGTCTCTGGAGGATGAGAAGCAAAATCAAAGCCACAGCCATTTAAACCATTTTAAGGGATATTTTAAATTTAAAAGAAATACATTAGGAATCTACAGCAGGGTAACCTGTTTCTCAGATTATGGAAAAGGAGAGGGAGCCTGGTGTATCAATTGGAATTAAAAAATGGGGAAGAAGCTTAGTCTTTTAATATTTAGCTTTAATATTGTCTTTGAATGACGTAAGCCACCTTGGGTCTTTTTTAAGGAGAAAGGCAGAATTTTAAAAAATTAAATAAGTAATACTCACCTGATCCCTCCAATTTTCAAACTTTTCTTATCCAACAGACCCATGGACTACAAGAGAAGACAATATGAATGATTCTTTGCAAATCAACCCTTCCCAAAACACGCTTATGCCTTTAAAATTACTAGATCCAAAACTGAATCAATCTTGTCATAAAATATACAGGCCAGACTTCAGGCACCAACACGGCCTTCAAAAATTGTGTTGAAAAACCAAACAAACACTGTATTTTCCAGACACTATGCAAACAGGTCCTTCTCACATCTGTGGCAGCCATAAGTGGAGTGTTCAACACTTTTCTTGCCCAATCTCTGCAGGCAGCTTTTAACCTTTCCCAATTAAAAATATGGGTAAAAACTATGGGGGGGGGGAAGCAAAAAAGAGATGAGCGGAGAAAAGTTTAATCATATCCATAATGCCAATTGCTGAAGCCTCCTTTCTCTTCCTCCTTCCAAGACTGCCACATATGTGCTTGCAAAACACAGTAAGTATTTAAAAACTGATTAGCTGGCAATCATTTTGCCTCTGTGCTACAAAGAATCTATTGCTTGACACTAAAACAGAGAAAGGAAAAACACAGACTTACAGGTGTTTCATAGATGCTAAGTGTGTCTGATGTCATTCGAGCAAAAAATTTCCCATCGTGACTCCATCTGAACAAAAAGAATTTTGAGAAGTCACGTGTGTTCTTAGTGCCTCTAACCTCACAGTGCTTCAAGAAGCGCATTTTTAGCCAGCTGTCCAACTTACTTAAAAATGGGCCAGTGGGCTGAACTTTCACAGTGGAATCCTCGCTTCTTCTGTCCTGTTAGGATGTCCCAGATAATGATTGCTTGAGGGTCGTCCTGGGTGTCCATAAGTGGGCTGAAGGTTACTAGGTACCTTCACAAAGAGGGAAAGAGACTCACTATATCAATATAAAAGCTGTGTTTCCCTTCAAGTTTAGAACGTATCAAATCAAACATTTTATACAACCGAAAAGTATGGCTTCAAACTGCAATGCTTAATCCACAGTTATAAACTTGTAAGATAACAAACAATGGTTAGTATAGCTTGTCAAGAATCCAAGAGGGTTTTCACCAAACGGTGTGCTTTGTTGCTTTAAAAGATGCTGCCCACAAGCTTTTAAAAAGCATCCGACACTAGGATCTGCAGGTTTATCAATAGCCAGGAAAAGACACAGGCTCTCACCCAGGCATTGGCCTCAAAGGGTAGCAGAAAAACATCCCTAACAATCTGGGCATATAATCATAGCAGCAAATAAATACCGCCTGTCTTAATTCTCAAGCACTATGAATTTCCTTCGTTTCTAGGCTAAGAACAATCGAATGTGGCATCCGTGGCTCATGCCCATCTTCAAGAACCACACTTCCCTATCATTGGCCCTAAGCAGTAGATTTTGTACTTGCACACAGCTGGCCACTCCACTGAAAACAAGCGATTGGGTAAGAGATATTGATAATGGAACTAGAGTGTGTGGCAAATGAAAGCAATGAAGCGGTCCCTGCATCTACTCGGGCAACACTGTTAACAGAACCAAACAGAGCCACATCCTGGGTTTGTATATCTGTTTAATTCCTAATGTGACCTATTAACTTCCAGAAATGGCCCACTCTATTCTACAGGAAGGGAAGAAAGCTACCAGTCTCCTTTGAGACAAGAAAAAAGGCACAGCTTGGACAGCAGAAGTGGGGATATTCAAAAGCAGCGTAAGAACACTTCAGCTTTTCAGTCAGTGACCCCTTCAGCTAGCCATTCTTGCCCCTTCACAAGGACTTAAATAATAGATCTTAAAATCATTGAAATATTCAAGATACTGTTAAATTTTTGGTGGCTTGAACACGTAAGATGATTTTGAAAAGAGACATATATTAATCAGTTCATCAATGCAATGATGTCTCTGAATCACACAACAGCATTCTACAAGTGGCCTTATTAAAGCAATTACTGTATCATGGCTTGTTAAGGTCATTAACACTGTCTGTGCTTTCAACCATTCAGTGTCTGTGAACTCACAGTTTACAATTCTACCTCCCTCCCACCCACACAGACTGCATTTAGACAGGCAAACCTGAGGCTATATATTTGATAACATGGACATTGTAAAAACAAAAAAACAAATAAAAAAGCTTACACCAGTTTATTTTTTTTAAAATTTAAGCTGCTATAGGACTTTTGCTACAATTTCCTTGATTACCTTTCACAAGGGGAGAAGTCAATAAGTTGCACCCCTTGGTGGCTGAACCTCTGGATCTGTTTGAATTTTTCTCCGCCCCACAGAGCAATGCCCCTCTGATGGAATGTAGCCAAATAGGTACCCTTTGGAGACCAGCGCACATAGGTTTCTGTCCATCGCTGTGGGAGGAAAAACAAACAGCATGCATTGATCACAGCACATCTGAATACTGCCAAGGAAGATTCTAAAGTTTTTAAGTGGATGGAAAACAACAAGAAAACTACTGACTTGTTGCTTATTAAAAATAATCTTATATTTAATTAGTTGTAACACATTTTTCATCCCGTGAACTGAGTTGCTATACATTACAAAATGGGCACTTTATAAGCTATAATTTTATGAACTGTCTTTTCCAAAAACTTTCTTGAGTATCCGTTAAGTCAAAATTTCAACATTTATTACCAGCCAAAGATGACTGAGTACAAAGTAGAAATGTCTTTAATACGTAGTAATGCTTTTTTTACTCCACTCCTCATCAACCTTAGGAAGTTAAAGTCATTATTCTGATAGGCATACAAAGCCTAACTTAAAACAACGTCTTGATTTATTCAAAGATCATCTGTAACGCTTGCCATTCAGAAGATATGAATCTTCTTAACATGTAAGGGTGAAATACTTTCCTCAGTAGAACCATTTAATTGGTGCCACTGATGACTTCACTCTGAAGAACTACTATGTCCCCTGCACCCTACATCTACCGAGTACTCAGTCTTGTTACCTACTGAGTTCCAATTTTTACTTACAAACCAAAAACTAAAATTATCATACAGAAAACTTCCAGAAACACTCACAGCTCTTTCCTCAATTACGACAGGATCCTTAACATCATTCCAGTAAATAGAAGTCCTATCTCCAGATTCAAAGATCACACTGTATTGATCTCTACAATCTGCATCTTCCAGCCAATAGCGTAGATTCCCCTGGATAAAGACAAAAATGTGAAGGTCTGAAGAAAATTACAAAGATTTAGCTACAAAAGCAAAATAGCAATCTTTTTTCTTTCCTTCACATCATCCGTACCTTGGAATGTAGCAACAACAACAAAAAATTGTTAAGAGCCCACTTTACTATGCCACACAGTAAACGTCTAAAATCTGGGGAACACTGCAAGGCTAACCTGAATGCAGACAAAACCAAATGAATTTTTTGAGCATCCAAAAACTCCACGGCACAGCACCTGATGCTAAGATTCACCCTAGTTGGGCGTGTTTGTTGGCAGACATCAAGTTCTAGACACTCATCGTTAAAACTGGTGTATTATATTATCTGCATTCTGCATGACGGCTTGTAAACAACTGCTGTTGTAACAGGATCCGCTCCCTATGTCCTCTTTATCTTTCTGCCAAAATACTCAAGTCTCTTTGTACACTCCCAGGGGGCCCCCCGCCCCATTCCACCTACCATTCGTAACATCCCTAGTGACCCTACAGAAATGCTTTCCAGGTTACTCTATTAAGCCTTTGTATGGTGCTATGGAAGGAATCTGGGGGCAAGCTTTGTTCTTGTCCGTCTCCCAACTTCACATTGCTTCTCTGGGTGAACACAGATCAGGCTTGCAAGCACCATCTCTGTATACTTTTGAAAACTTACCAGGTCTTTAAAAGGCTGCTTCTCTGGAATTTCCCACTCATCACTGATCGTCATGTACCTGAAACAAGGATTAAGACAGGTATACGCTCTGCATTCACAACACTCAGACATCTATTTCCAGGGAAGAACGGAACCACAATTATACTCACTTGTCGAAGTCTGTGAACAAGTTGACCCTGAAAGTGTGCTGTTTGTCCAGCTTGTAGGCGTCTGCATTTTTAACAGCATCCAAAGCATGAGTTGGAGACATGTATTCCAAGAATATATACCTGCAGTAAAATATCATAAAATCTGAAAAGTTACTGCTGACTTTCGGGGTCATACTGATGGAGAGGCAAGGTAGCATCATCATCTCAGAACGGCAGAGCTGGAAGGCACCCTATGGATTGTTGAGTCCAGCCTGTCAAGGAGGCCCAGTGGGGAACTGAACTTAGCCAGAAACCCAAAACACTGAACTAAGAAATGAAAGATCAAACTCTCCAGTTTCAGCAAAATCTCAGCGACACAAGCTGGATCTGGATCAGATGCAATCTAATACTATTCAACCCCCTGCTCCAAGTCAACTTTCAGCCTTATTTGTACAACACAGCAAAGGTGCAATGAGCAAAAGCCCCTCCCTCACAGATGAGCAACATCATTTCAAAGGCAGGGACAATGTCTATTTTCCTGTAACCTGCTTTGCATTTGAGAACAATGGCAACAATTAAGACTCCACATGATAGCCACAGCAGCGTAACGTATGTCATCTGGGCAAGATAACTAGATACTGGTGCATGAGTGATGAACAGAGTAAAAGCTAGATGGGAGGTTACTTTGAGAATATCACAGTGAAGGGTAGACATTTAAAAGGGAATTTGGGACATTACAGATGAAGAGTAAGAAATTTTACAGATGTTGGTCTCATGACCTGGAAGGACAGTATTACACCTGCTGGCAATTCAGTCAGCCTGGCCTATAGGTTGGTCATGTGATGGTGGGGAAAGGGATAATGCTGGGAATCACAGTTTCCTATCCCATTAGGCTCTCTAAAGGGACCCTCCCTAAAAATAACAACTTTCAGGAACCACTATGGCAGGAAGGGGTGGGCAAGAGGAAATGAAGTGAGAAACGAAGATCAATAACTTGAAAAATCTAGAGATCTGCAGATTTGTGTGTCTGCAGGGGGAGGTACCGCTCCAAAATCTTGCCTGGTGAATTCATGGAGAATTCTGGGAGTAGCAGTCAAAAAACATGAAAAAACAAATTTATTCTACCAAGTGACTCGCACTGGCCCCCCCTTCCAGCACAACTGTAAAGATTATTACCTGCCTGCATGCAATGAACAGTAAATGCAGACTTTTTAAAGAACTGGTGAAGTGCTGTAATTTATACTACCAATGTTCTTTGACATTTCACCAGCTATGGTCACAATCCTGAGTGGGAAACCGTAGCTTGTTGGTCCATGGAGACCTTCACGTTTTGGGTTGCTGCATTTGCCAGGATGTGAGCTCTGGAGAGTATGACACACACACATTCTCCCATTCTCAATGCTACAGAGGTGCGTAAGAAAATATTGTGTAGCAATTTCTACTCCCTCTGCAGTTCTATGACAGTTTTCTTGGAATGCTTTACTTTTTAGTGTTCTACAGGAAGGGCTGGCATAGGGCTTCCTTGGCCATTGTTAGGTGGCAGCTGATACACTTCCAGTGCTTAAGTTCAAATTTCCAAGAGGGAAGGCTAGCGGGTGGGTTGTCTGGACTACTTGAGTTTCTTTGTGTCTCTATGTATTTTCTTGTAAACCCTAGTAATCTCAAACTTGAGCATGACTAGCTAGAATTGCTTTAAAATGCAGCCTCGTGATCACATACTTACCCTTTAGTCTGTCCATCAGCTTCTGGGTAAAATTCATTGGTAATTTTCCCAAACTTTGAGAAAATCTTATGAATAACATTTTTCAGTTTCTCGAGACGATCTGGCCCAACCTGGGGAACATTATCCACCACAATCACTGAATCAATTCCATCAGCCTCATGTGGACGTTCTTCCAGAATATCCCCAAGTAATTCTGGAGGGGGAAGGAGAGAGGAAAGAGTGAAGCAGCCAAGCTCACAACTTTACTCTGCACACAAATACAAATGTCTCAATAATTCATTCTCTTTGTAGTCCAAATACTGCTGGACTACAACTCCCACAAACCACTGCCAATGGCCCATCAAAGCAGATGGGAGCTGCAGTCACAAATCATTGAAAGCTATATATTTCCCACCCTTACTCTGCATCACATGCTTTGTGTACTGTAGCATTGTTACAATTAGCAAGAAAGCCACATCCAAGCTCTTTAATCATAGTAGCTGAACAATAGTAGCTGAACAAGTGGAATCAGCAAACAAAGAGTCATTGAGTTTTAATCATGCAACAAATCAAGACAACTTAATGGATCTTTCCTTTAGTTTTCTAAACTCATCTTTCTCTTCCTCAATATTGAGAATGGCTGAGAACATTTGTCACACCACAGCTCTTTTCAATATTATTTATAATACTTATAATCAATTTGATATTGCAAGGTCATCAACAATTCACATTCAATGGCAATCTATAAATCCAAACATCAAATTACTTACAATTTACTAGAAACAAAATACAAGTTCCAGCACTCCCTCTGAGGCACCCCAATGAATAAAACACACCTCATGTTGCACCACAATCCTAAACCAGTGAAATTAAATGTACACTGTTTTACTCAAGACATCCTCTCACCATATTACACCCTGCTTTCATCTGCACCAAGGGAGCATCCAGGGTGCACCTAGAAACTCAAACTTTGGACCACATTTAAATAGGCCAGTGTACTGACTTTGAATCTCTGTGAGTTATTTCAGAAAATAGTGACTGGAATCAGCAAAACTATGATTTAGATACCGTACTAAGCTTCTCGTACAGCATTAAAATGTTGTGATTTATTAGAAGCACCTATATGAAAGCCATTCAATAGAGCTATGATATGCACACATGATAGAGTATAGCCATTCATGCTAATCTTTAAACCAATATATATCTGCATATGTGTTTTATGGTAACACCTTTAGGTAACAGCGTTCCCTGTCTAAGTCGCACTGGCCATGTGACCACGGAAGATTGTCTTTGGACAAAACGCTGGCTCTATGGCTTGGAAATGGGGATGAGCACCGCCCCCTAGAGTCGAACACGACTGGACAAAAATTGTCAAGGGGAACCTTTACCTTACTGACTTTGAATCTCTGTCTGTGAGTTATTTCAGAAAATAGTGACTGGAATCAGCAAAACTATGATTTAGATACTGTTCTAAGCTTCTCGTACAGCATTAAAATGCTGTGATTTATTAAAAGCACCTATATGAAAGCCATTCAATAGAGCAGTGGTTCTTAACCTTTGTTACTCGGATGCTTTTGAACTGCAACTCCCAGAAACCCCAGCCAGCACAGTTGGTGGTGAAGGCTTCTGGGAGTTGCAGTCCAAAACTCCTGAGTAACCAAAGGTTAAGAACCAGTGCAATAGAGCTATGATATGCACACATGATATAGCCATTCATGCTAATCTCTAAACCAACATATGTCTGCATATGTGTTTTATGGTAACACCTTTGTAAAAGGTGTGTTTCTTGCCAAAAGGCTTACAGAAGGATGGAGATCTCCTTCTGGCTTAAACTATGTGAACGGATCCTAGAGACCTTAGTTTGCTATTCTGGTCAAGTTAACCCATCATACAAAAGTAGAAACATTTCAGTTGTGCCAGACAGTTGGCTTTCTTTTGGCCTTAGGACAACCCACAGTAGTCCAACAATGCCTCATATTGAGTCCAAGGATAACTGGAGCCAAGTCTCAAAACACGGAGGGCCTCTGTGATCTTCACTTTCAGGCCTCTAAAAATGGTACTGAGTATCACTCTGTTGTGCACTTACAGCACCGTAATTTTACACTAATGGACCTCTCTTTGCATCCTTTGGATACCCTTTTCAGCCACTCCCACTCCACAGCATGGGAGACCGACTAGAAAAGCAGACATAAAACTGAATAGTTTATCCCACTCAGCACCCAATATTTTAGCTTAATAACCAGGATCCCTTATCAATGCAAGCTTACTGCTGTAACTTTACACACAATGACACTTCCTAGAGGCCCTGCTTCTGGACAAGGGTAAGATCATGGTGTAAATTTAAGGTTATTAGTGCTATGAACAGAGGTATAGTACAGAGGCCACACCAGCCCATCTGGACAGCCTTCCTCTTTGAAGCCTTTGCTTCGGCTAACATGTATTCTATGTTCCCACAAAAAAATGTTAAAAAGAGTGTTCTAGGGAGCCTCCAAGTCTAAAGGCCGTGTGTCTCCAAAGGAAGGGGCTGACATTAAAGAAAAAAAGATATGGCCTCTTTAACCAGAGGGGCTCTTTGGGGGGGAGTTGAATGGAGCCTCTCTGTTCAGGAGCAATCCACCTGAAGACAGACAGACACACAGAGACCCAGCCTGAGAAGGACTGAAGGAGCCTCCCAGAAACCTTCTTCTCGCCTCCTTCCAGATACAGGCCCTGGGCGCAAGGCCCATCAGCCTCCCCACCCAGGGGCCGTCCAGGGCGAGGGGCTGATGGGCCCTGGAGTCCTGCCCCACTGTCCCCACCCGGCGCGCGTGTGAGAGGGGGGAGAGGAAAGGGAGGGCCAAAAGGGGCGCTTCTTCGGCCTGTCCCGGCCCCCTCCCTCGCCCACCACCGACCTTCCTCATCGATGTCGTCCTCGAAGCCCTCCGGGTCGCTGAAGGAGAGCTCTTCCTCTTCCTCCTCTTCCTCCTTCCCCTCTCCTTCTCCTTCCTCCCCCCTCCGAGGCTCCTCGGATGACGACGGCGGGGCCTCCTTGTCCTCCTCCTCCTCCTTCTCTTCTTCGGGGGTCTCTTTCTCCTTCCCTTCTTCTTCTTCTCCTTCCTCTCCGTCAGACTTTTCCCGCTCGCCCTCCGGCTTCTCCTCCTCAGGCCTTTCCCGGGAAGCCGCCTCTCCTTCCTCCTCCTCCTTCTTCTCCTTCTTCACCACCACCACCTCCTCTTCTTCCTCCGGCGCCCCTTCTTCTTCTTCTTCCTCCTCCTCCTCCTTCTCGGGGCTGAGAGGCGGCTCTAGGCCGGAGAGGGGCTCGGGCTCCTCCTTCGCCTCCGGCTCGGGCTCCTTTCCTTCCTCGGCGGCATCGGCTAGCGAGGGCTCCTGAGG